GTCAGTCTTTTGTTCATCCCTCGCTAACCCCCCTGCTGGCCTGGTCACCCCGCGCAGCCTGCTGCTCAGTTGTTTGGTCATTCCTCACTAACCTCAATGCCGGCCTTGTCACCCCATGCAGCCTACTGTTCGGTTGTTACTGTGAGGGCATTGTGACCAATTTGTATATTACCCTTTTATTAGTATAGATATAAACACACAAATATACATTTTTTTCTTTTAATCTGAGAAAGACAAGTGTCATTCTTTGAAACATTCTTGCAACTTTTCTACAGAGCTGACATTGTATTAAAATATTTTTTTAAAAACAGTATTTTTTTTTTTTAAAGTAATACACAAACTTACTGAAGCTGGAACTGGATCTAATTTATCCCCTCCTCCACTCCTTTACATCAGTCCTATAACAATTTCTAAAAGTTGCCACTTCTTGAGCATTTGAGCCAGGCACTATTCTAAAGAGCTTTACATATATTATTTAATTTAGTCCTCTGGACACTATGAAGTGGGAGTTGTTATTATTCCTGTTTCACAGATGAGGAAATTGAGGCTTAAAAAATATTGTAATTTGCCTTAGCAAGCCTGACTCCAGAAGCTGTTAATAACCATTTTCAAAAAATCTTTCCTGTCTAGGACCTTACAGTCATTGCTGGTGAGAATATAAACTGCTATGGCCACAATGGGAAGCAATATGAAGATCTACCATATGACCCAGCAATCCCTGTTCTGGGTATCTACCAAAAATTTTTTTGAAAACATTTATTCATAAAGATATATGTACCCCTATGTTCATTGCAACATTATTCACAGTAGCCAAGACATGAAATAGCCTAAGTGTCCTTTAATAGATAATCAGATAGAGAAGATGTGGTATAAAAAAATTTTTCATAAATAAATAAAAAGATGTGGTACATATATGTAAAATGGAATACTACTTAGCCATAAGAAAGGATAAAATACTGCCATTTGCAACAACATGGATGGATCTTGAGAGTATCAGGTTAAACAAAATAAGTCAGACAGAAAAGGACAAGAATCATCTGATTTCACTCAGATGTGTCTTATAAAACAGAAATCAACAAATAAAACAAAACAAACTCATAAACACAAACAACAGTATGGTGGCTACCAGAGGAAAAAGGGTGGGGAGAAGATGGAGAGAGTAAAGAGGTGCCAAATACATGGTCACAGAAGGAGACTAGACTTTGGGTGGTGAGTACACAATGCAATACACAGATGCCATATTACAAAATTGTATACTTGACACATTATTAACCAATGTCACCCCGATAAATTTCATTTAAAAAATATTTTCCCCAGTTATTTTTTAAACCACAATTTGATTTCAACTTTATTGGTGGTGTATTTTTTTCTTAGGCATTAGTCGTGGGTACATGGCTAATTTTGTACCTTTTTAAATCTCTTAAATTTTCCATTTAAAAAAAAGATATATAATTCCAATAAAAGGCATTTTTTTGGGGGGGAGTTCATTATTCTTTTCATTTATAATTGTCCAATAATATCTTCATAGACATTTTTTGCCCAGCTATTGTGGCTTACTAGTTGAGCATCAACCCATGAATCAGGAGCTCATGGTCTGATTCTGGTCAGGGCACATGCCCAGGTTGTGGGCTCCATCCCCACTAGGGGGCGTGCAGGAGGCAGCCAACAATGATTCTCATTGATGTTTCCATCCCTCCCTGAAATCAATTTTTAAAATTTAATAAAATTAAACCAGTTTACTAGTGTAAAAACAAACCCAAGTTTCCATTCAAAATAAAGTACCACATGGTTGTGAATTCTATGAAATTATAATACCTCGGAAATGTAACGGTCAGCTTGTTTAAGTAACTCCCCAATAATTAGAACATTTGAAGTAGTACCATCTCCTGTAATGTCATCCTGGGCTGTTGCTACTTTCGCTATCAAGGAAGCTGTTGGGTGTTGAATTTGCTGGAAAAAGCAAGCAACAGATTTAAAGAGAGAGAGAATAAAGAAATAAATAGTCTATCAAAAACAAGATAACCTAAGGATCAATAGTAAAATCAAGAAATGAAATAAGGATGAAGGCTTGGGAAAGGGATGGAAGTAGGAAGGGGGGGGGTGGTCAATGAGGGGAAAAAAGAAGACATCTGTAATGCTTTAAACAATATTTTTAAAGACATGAAATAAGCGTCATTCTACAAGTTCACACATTTTAATAAATGTCAAAATCGAGAGTTAAAAGTTGAGAACTAATGAGATTTGAACATTTTATAAGAGTCTTTGCTGCAGAATGCAATGACATTTCCAAAATTAGGTTAAATCCTTCAATTTTGAAGATATATTTACTAAAATTGCAAAGGACTTTTTACTTTTCCATGATTACAAAGAACACAATGTGGTGCCTTTAAAAGATTCAACTAATTTGGATGCATTCCTAAGCTGTTACTTAGACTATACACTGAGATTTGAAAACAGCCAAAAAAACATTTTTATTGAGGTTTAATCCAACAAGTATACCTCATGATTGGGATATTTAGCTGCCAGCCTTTGTTTAAAGATATACAAATTGTATTATGCGCTCAGTTAAGGCTTATTAAGGTTTATTAAACTCAGCAGCGTCGGCTCACCATCTCATGAAGCAGCACATTGCCATCTTTGGTGAGTTTGATATCACCTGCACCGGAAACAAGCCTGTTCAGAAAACAGTGATGTTATTAACTTCGTATGGCAAGAGTCAAGCAAGACATAGTGCTTGCCACTCCACCATCATTAGTATAGGGAGCCAGGCTTGGAAAACTTCCATCATCCGGAGAGATACACAGTAAGTGCCCCATTTGCAGCCCACAGAATCACTTTCCCCCAGATGGACTGCCATGGCGATTTCACTCCAAATGGACAATTTACAAGTTCGAGGATTAAATGCAGTTGGTGAGTTATGACAGTGGTTTGGTCCAGAAGAGTACCTGCAAGTCTACCAGCCACACATTTATGAATTTCCTGCAGGTTTGTTTTGGTGAAATGTTACCATTCATTCTGTCATTCTACAACGTAAAAGCCTCTCAAAGTACTCCCTTTAGTATTCACATATATCTGAATTTGAATCTACTCTCCATTTATCTTTCTATGAGGCAGGATGACTCAATTTACTGATCAAAAATCCTTCAGACCAGCTGGGGTGGCTCAGTGGCTGAGGGTGGACCTATGAACCAGCAGGTCATGGTTCGATTCCCAGTCAAGGCACATGTCAGAGGTGGTGGGCTCCATCCCCAGTAGGGGGCGAGCAGGAGGCAGCCAATCAATGATTCTCTCATCATTGATATTTCTCTTTCCCTCGCCCTTCTTCTCTGAAATCAATAGAAATATATATATTTTAAAATCCTTCAGTGATGTTCATGTTCTCTATCATTTTCAAGGTAAAATCCATACTATTCAGCAATGACATAGCTGACCCTTTTCAATCTGGTTTTATCTATTTAAAATGTTTCATCTACAAAATGAAATCTTGTGGGAAAATCTTATGGTTCCCTTAATACATCATGTATGTTTTTGTTTCTCTTGGATTTACACCAATTGATTTTCTTGTTCCAGAAGTTGCTCTATCTAAAAGACCTTTGCTCACTTCTCCAGCTGGTGAATTCTAATGCATCTTTCAAGACTCTGATAAAAAATAATCCATTGAGTATTTCCCTTCCCCATTATTCCTTTCCTCGGTATTATCACATATGACTAAAAATACAATGCATGGCACATATATATAATATTATATAGAATATACAGTCATTTCTAACAAATCCCTTTAAAAACTAAAACTTTATCTTGGTCATCTCTGTGTTCTCAGCATCCCATTTAGTTCATAATAAACATCCTCTTTTACTGTTAATTTATTTTGCTCATTCCTGTGGCTGTATCGCTCCTCTTACACCTCTTACTGTTAATTTAATTTGCTCAATCCTGCCAAAAACCAGTTTGGCTCAGTGGATAGAGTGTCGACCTGCAGACTGAAAGGTCCCAGGTTCAATTCCTGTCAAGGGCATGTACCTTGGTTGCAGGCACATCCCCAGTGGGAGGTGTGCAAGAGGCAGCTGGTCGATATTTCTCTCTTATCGATGTTTCTAGCTCTCTATCCCTCTCCCTTTCTCTCTGTAAAAAAATCAATAAAATATATATTTTTTAAATTGGCTCAATCCTGAGGCTGTATCTCTCCTTACATCTTTTTGCCCGCCCCAGTCTCTTTCCTTCACTGTCCTAAATAATGGTGCTAAATAAACACATGCTGAATGGATTAACAGATACGAAGAACCCTAGGCACAGAGCATCCAAGTAACTTGCCAAAGGCCTCACGGAAGGGAAACTTGGAATTGAACCCATACCTGTCAGGCTCCGAAGCCGGGGCCGCCCCAAAGCACCCTGCCAACCACCACCAAAACCATGGGCATCCAGGCATCCAGTCTTAAGGAGCAGGGGAGTCAGAGGGCTTACGTTTCCTATGAAAAACTGGACTTTGAAACTGCGTATGACCCTTAACGAAAAGTTGGTGGGGCAGGAAGGGGCTGGATAGGGAATCACAGCTTCACTCGTGGGGCCTTTTCCTTGGGGGAGTTTTTTTCCTCCTCCCCGCACTGGGCTAGACATGACCTCGGGGCAGGAATGAGAATGAGGGAAGCCCCAGGCCCACAAGTGTGTGTCCACAGTGACAGCGAACACACCCCGGGCGCCCTAACCGCCACTCCAACCGCCGCCTCACATTTTCATGGTGCCCTTGGGACCCAAGTTGGTCCTCAGCACATCCTGCAGCCCTCGGGCAGCGCATATATTGACCGCCAAGGCCGCCTGGGCCCGCGCCACCTCCGCCTTGGCGTTTAAGGTCTTTATGGCAGCCATGGCCGAACGGTTGTGGGACCACCGGACCGGCCCAAACAGCCGGAACCGAGATTCTGATGTGAAACCCAGCACCAGGTCCCACGCTCAGGAGCTTCCGCCAATCCTCGCCCCGGTGCGGAAGTGACGTCATCGCGCATCGCCAAGGCGGAAGTCGGGCTCGCCTCGGGGTCGGGGCGCAAAGATGGCGTCCTCCGCTTCGGCTCGGCCTGCGGCCGGGAAGCGAGTGGTGAGCCAGGATGAACTGCGGCGGCTGATGAAGGAGAAGCAGCGCCTGAGCACCAACAGGAAGCGCATAGAGTCTCCGTTTGCGAAGTACAACCGCCTGGGGCAGCTGAGCTGCGTCCTGTGCAACACGCCGGTGAAGAGCGAGCTCCTGTGGCAGACGCACGTCCTGGGGAAGCAGCACCGGGAGAGAGTGGCCGAGCTGAAGGGCGCGAAGGAGGCCCCCCCGGGGCCGTCCGCCAGCGCGGCGCCCCCGTCTGCCAAGAGGAAGGCTCCGGACCCCGACAGCCACGACGCCAAAAGGCCGAAGGCCCCGCAGGTGCCCCAGGCGCAGCCCTCCACGTCCGCTTTGCGCACCGGCGCCGACAAAGCGGGAAAGGAGTCCGCGAGAGCGACCCCCGGTAAGGCCTCGGCACTCGGGTTACTCCCTGATTATGCAGAGGAGGAGGAAGAGGAGGAGAAGGAGGAGGAGGAGAAGGGAGGAGAAAAGCCAGAGGGGGACGCCAGCACGCAGCCGCCCGACACGCAGGGCAACAAGGAACACTCACTCTCCTCCTCGCTGGAGGCAACAGGTAGTGGGCTGCCCAGAGACTTCTCGACTGCAGATCCTCCCAAGGCCCCTTTAATTCCTCACTCGGGGTCCATTGAGAAAGCAGAGATACATGAGAAAATAGTGGAGAGGAGGGAGAACACTGCGGAAGCGTTACCGGAAGGTTTTTTTGACGACCCCGAGATAGACGCAAGGGTGCGCAAGGTTGATGCCCCCAAGGATCAGATGGACAAAGAGTGGGACGAGTTTCAAAAAGCCATGAGACAGGTCAACACCATCTCCGAAGCCATCGTGGCTGAAGAGGACGAGGAGGGGCGGTTGGACCGGCAGATTGGGGAGATCGACGAGCAGATAGAGTGTTACCGTCGGGTGGAAAAACTGCGGAATCGCCAGGATGAGATAAAACACAAGCTTAAAGAGATCCTGACAATAAAAGAGCTGCAGAAAAAGGAAGAGGAGAATGTTGACAGCGACGATGATGGAGAACTGCAGGATTTGTTGTCTCAGGATTGGAGGGTCAAAGGGGCTTTGTTATAGGATTGCAAGGACCTGATATTTCTAATACCTATAAAAAGTGCTGTCTCTCCCTATACCGGTTACTCCATCCGGGGGGGTTTGATAACCTGACGAGGTTGTTGCAGTACAATACGAGCCTGTGAAAATAGCACTTTGGAAAATTGGTGTAAACTATTTTTGAGGTAAAGTTTGCAAGTGTCTCAGTGTTACATGTTAAAATGCCAACATTTTCACATATTTACGGATTTAAATGGATAAGCGGGTTGGAGAATCTGTAAGCTGTAAATATTGTACACATAGTTAAATATATATTTACTTAATTCTGTTTTGAAATTTACAAGTGAATAGAAGTAGAACCAACAGACAAGCTTTTTGATGAATACCAAGTGTATTGGGGACACCCCCCTCCCTCCCAGTTCAAACTCAAGAGGGTGGGAGAGCTTTGCGTTGTTTTTAAGAACACTATGCATAGATTCATAAGTCATTCACAGCTAAACAATTCTCTGTATTGTTTCTGTTTCAAACACATGCTGTAGGAGAACATGGTGAAAATATATGCCAAATATGACCAGCCTCCTTAACCCAAAGTTTGTCTCGAGTATACCAATGATTTTTGGATGTAGGTGCACATGAAGGTCGCCTATGAAGCTTGCTTATTTATTTATTTATTTATTTATTTATTTATTTATTTATTTTCAGGGAGGAAGGGAGAGAGAAACATCACTGATGAAAATCAATGAATGACACCTGCATGCCCCCCACTGATGATTGAGCCTGCAACCCAGGCATGCGCCCTTGACTGGAATTGAACCCCTTCAAAATGAGTAGTAATAATAACCAAGGTTTATATAGTTCTTACAATACAGGTGAGGCAGGATTCTAAGTGCTTTACATGAACTCAGTCTAGTTTCCCTAAAGCCCATGTATTGTGGAAGAGAGGAACCGATAGGAGGTTTGAAAAAGCTTTGAATGCTAGATGAAAGAATTCTTCCTGTAGGCAATGGGAAAAGTGAAAGTTTTTGAGCAAAAAATCATACCCACTAAAAACTTACGGAAGATGACTCTAGTTGCAGTATATACACTATAATATTTATAATAGGGAATCTATATTCTGTGTAGAATGGAATGAGCATAAATAGAGGGAAAGGTAGTTAGTAAACTACTTCCAAACTAGATTTTTAAAGTATAGTAGATTGATTAAGTATGGATTGAGAGAAAAGGAATAGATTTGAAGGAATTTCACAGGAAGAGCTAACATTTCAGTGTCTAGAAATGGGAAGAAAAACGAGAGATAAAGATAGAATTGAAAGATTTGGGGGTTTTTTTTAGTGTTTATGCCTAAAGTTATTTAACACTTAATGAGAATATTCATTACCTTATTGCTTTTGGTAGAAAGTCTGCTTTCTTGAGCTGTCAGCTGATTGGTGATAGCAACTTCAGTTTGATAACATAGAATGGGCATGCCTGCCTCAACTGTATGAAAGAAACCAGTTTTCTATCATTGTTTATTATTTCAAAAGATGAGAAGGTACAAAGATGGGCTTGAATGGTTGGTCCAGTTCTGTGTTGGCTAAGAGGCGAGGCTAATGATCTAGAGCACTGTCCATTTAAAAATATAATGCAAGATAAATATTTTTTAACTTTTTTAGTAATTACATGAAAAAAAGAAATGCAAAATTATTTTTCATAAATTGAATCCAAGTATATCCAAAATACTGTTTCAACATGTAATCAATATTTAAATGCTAGTGAAATATTTTACAATGTGGGGGTTCTACATTTCTGAAATTTGGATGTGTGTAACGCATCTCAGTTTAGACTGGCCACATTTCAAGTACACACTAGCCCTATGTAATGGCTACATAGTACACACTAGCGCTATGTAACTAGTGGAGATTTAAAGAGAAAGGTGTACTGGTGGAGCATTTGCTAGTGTGCTCAGTGTTTAGAGCGTTGGCCCATGCACAGAAAGGTTTCAGATCAATTCCCAGTCAAGGGCATGTACCCGGATTGCAGGTTTGATCCCTGGCCCCAATCAGAGCACATGCAGGAGGCAACCATCAATGTGTGTCTCTCACATCAATGTTTCTCTTTCTCTTCCCCCATCCCTTCCACTCTCTATAAATCAATAGAAAGATATCCTTGGGTGAGGGTTAAAAAAAAAAAACGGGTATATAGGTTGGAAAACTAAATATGCTCAGAGGTAGTGGGCAGAACAATTTGCAGTAGTGTTCATTCCTGACAATGGGAGTTATTGAAAAGGTAGATTGTCAACCATTGTGGAGGCCCTCAACTGCCATGCTATAAAGAGTTGGAACTTTCTCTAAGTTAACAATTGAGTATTTTTTTTAATCGCTTTATATATAAAGAGAAAGATTTTTTTCCCCAGAGAGCGAGAGAAACATCAATGATAAGAATCATTGATCGGCCGCCTCCTGCACACCCCCTACTAAGGATCGAGTTCATAATTATGGGCATGTGCCCTTGACTGGAATCGAACCCAGGTCCCTCTAGTCTGCAGGCTGACATTCTATTCACTGAGCCAAACCAGCTAAGGCAACAATTGAGTATTGAGGTTGTTGAGTTCTCAGTTATTAACACAGTTAAAGAAAAGCTTAAGCACTGCCAGGTATGTTACCACACACGTAAGCCCTATGGAGTTTTTAGGAAGTCCAAAAAAGCTCTCAAAATCTGTTCCTAGTGCATGAGCAATAGGGCTCTGACCAAAATCAAGTGAATCCTTGTTAGATCTGATAGCCATATAAACAGCTACACACATTGGGGAGGTGCTTTATACCTCTTTGAATTGTGTCAAATAGGTTTTGGCATTAGACTGAATACCACCAATGTTCCCAAATTGTGAGAATTAGTCCCAAGATTCCTTCCAGTCCCTTGTTCTCTTTTTAGAGAACCCCATAATTTAGCCAACAATACATTAGAATTATTATAAATGCTACAAAGGTAATCCTCTCACCCACTTACCAGTTTAATACTTGGAGAACAAAGATGCTGATTTCCTAACTAGCCTTCAAATGTACATTTGCCCTTAATGTACAAAATGCTTTCATTTAATGATGGGAAGTAATGACTACTTTTTACAAGCCAGGGAACAAAATAAGAGGCTGTGGAATTGAAATTGCATGAAAAAGAATATAATTTAGACCTAAAACCTTTAATAGTAACAATTCCTAGATTAGTATGGAGTAACAGGAAGAACAAGAAAATTGGCAAGAGAAAATAAGACACAATTTCAGGTTCCCATTCTAGCTTTTCATGGCTAGTGATCTTGGGGAAAGTCATCTCTCTGAACCTTAGCTTGCTTCATTGTAAAATGATACCTCACAGGGTGTGGGTGAGAATCAAATGACATGTAAAAGAATAGTAAAAAGAAAAGAAAAAAAAAGTAAAAAAGACCAACTTGACTCTTGAAAGTCAGAACCAGAAAGAGGTTTAAAAAATATATATTTTATTGCATTCAGAGAAGAAGGGAAGGAAAAGGGGAATAGAGAGAGGAAAAACTTTTTTAAAAATATTTTTTATTGATTTCTTACAGAGAGGAAGGGGGAAAGAGAGTTAAAAACATTGATGTGTGAGAGAAACATCGATCAGCTGCCTCTTGCACCCCCCACACTGGGGATGTGCCCGCAACCTAGGTACATGCCCTTGACCGGAATCGAATCTGGGACCTTTCAGTCCACAGGCCAACGCTCTATCCACTGAGCCAAACCGATTTCGGCAGAGAAAAACTTTTCAATGATGAGAATCGGTGATTAACTGCCTTCTGCATGCCCCCCAACCCAGAATGGAAGCACTACCTCCTAGTTCATAGATCAAGACTCAACCACTGAGCCATGCTGGCCAGGGATTAGAGCAGATGGTTTTGTTGATATTTAACTCTTAAATCCTTAATCTTCCAAAGAGTCAAGTGGCATCTCACCTTTTAAAGGTTTTTTAAAGTTGCCTGGCTAAAGACAGAGATGGCCTAAGTACTGTTACTTTTGCTTGCAAGGTTTGCCCAGGAAAGTGACAGCTTTCTCAGTGTAATTATGAATAGTGTCCCCTTTCACTCTCAATAGTATTCCTTTTTGGAGAGGAGAACGGGAGAGACGAGATTCACCTAAAAGTTAGATATCAAAGAGAGAAAAACAACATTGGAAAGCCTTAATGGATGTAGTACATTTCCTATTTATGATGCACCAATGGGCTAGATACTTGGCTGGATGTTGTATGGGGGTATTTGAGTAAATATATGGGTAGGAGTGGTGGGTAGAAAGATAACCTAGGATTTCTTTTTAATACTAAGATCTAGTAGCCTGTATGATACCAGGAATTTAGAAACTTTAAATTTGAATAGGGAGAAAGAAAAATCCCAAAACTACATCCTATTTTCGATCTACCTTTCCTCCCTCGATGATCTCCATCCACACCCAAGAGTTTAAATATCACCTTAAAGTGACGACTCACAATTTATAGCCCCAGCTTTGACCTTATTCCCAGGAGTCATCCTTCATTCTCTTAGTCCCCAAAGCTACTGCATGAGTTAAGTCCTGGCTGCTCTACCTCTAAATATGTCTGGAATCTGTCCACTCCTTTCTGTTTCCACTGGTCCCAGCCACCCCACCAACATCTCTTACATCAACTGACTATTTCCCCCTCCCCAGCCATAGTCTGTTACCAACAAAGTAGAGTGATCTTTTTTAAATTTAGGTCAGTCAGTCGGTCACTTAAAACCATTATATTCTCCCATCACACTGGGGGACAGGAATCATGGTCCTTAAGCCTACTTGGCGCTCAGCGATCACTAATCCAAATGTCTACTGCTTATGAACTAATGACCACACTCCCATTAAAGGGGGGTAGGAAGGGAAAGGCGAGCATAACTGATCTATGTTGAAACTATCATTCAGGAATAGTGGCCTGGGTGATCAGGTTGGTTTTTGGGTGTGTTTTGTGTTTGTTTCTTATTTTCAAGAACAACTGTAAGTCAAGATTGCTTTTGTTTTCAGTGAAATCTCAAACACGAGGTGGGCTGAATGTGAAGGTCCCCACTTTGTACCTATCTTCTAACTTCATCTGCTACGCTCTTCCCCTTGATTCTCACTAGCTAACTTTCTCCTCAAACATGCCATTTCAGGACCTGGGCCTGTGGTTCCCTCTGCTTGGAACCTGATTCCAAATAGAATGGCAGTCTTCTCATCATTCACTTCTCAGCCCTAAGATGACATAAACGCCCTCTTCCCGAACCTCCCATCACTCACATTATCCTATGAATTCATTAACTTAACACCATCTTAAATTAGCTTATTCATTTGTAATAAATTGTGTTCCTCCCCCACCAACCAGCATGTAAACTCTCTACAGGGCAGGGAGCTCACATGTCTTGTTCACAACTTAAAATAATGCCAGGCACATAATAAATAGAGCTCAATAAATATCTGTGGGATGAATAATACCCTCAGAGCAGAAAGTTGCTTGGGGAAGTGGTAAAAAGACCAACCTGACTCTTGGAAATCAGAAGCAGGACAAAAGTCCATTGAACAGCTTAAAGGACTTAGAAGTCTTTTCCTGGCACATGAAGCCCTGACCTGTTCCGAGGGAAGCAGCATAGAGCATACACAACAGGCCCTGGGGATAATGGGCCGCCTCTGCATCCAGCAGCTAATAAGAATTCCTCATGGCACCAAACGAGCAAAGAGGGATGTCCACATGTCCGCGGGGGCTAGTGGGCAGTTCTGATTGCCTAGAGGCCTCTTCAGTGGAGAAGAGAAGGACTAAAGCGAATCAGTGGCAGAGTGAGATCAGAGTCAGCAAGTACACATTGCCTCCCAGCTGCTCTCAGTCCTCAGTCCCCTTCTCTGCCATCACCATTTTGTTTGGCTCGTTTTGCCTGTCACTTGGCAGTCAAAGCTACTTTGGAGCCAGTCACTGCACTCAGCCATCCTTCAGTGAAAGCACTGCCAGTCTGTAGGAGGGAAGGGGTTCCAACTGGCTGCTCGTCCACTTTACTAACAGCATTTGGCAGGCTACAAGCACACTAGGGAGCCAGCGGTCACCTTTAGGGGAGTTCAGAGGACCACACTGATTGGGTGGTTGATGATGGTGCTATTGTTTTTATTATGTGTGTGGGTGTGGGTGTGCGTATGGTCTGTTAACTCTGCCAAGAGTGATTATAATTGAATATCAACCAAGGTTGGCAGATTATTAATAATAGTTACCACTTACTGGATTCCTACATGTGCCTGGCAGTTTGCTAGGGCTTGACATACACCCTCTCTGGTCCTCACAACCAACTTGTATATAATATCTTCATTTTACAGATGGGGAAACATGCTCAGAAGTGAAGGAACTTGCTCAAGGCAACAATTCCAAAGTCCCTACTATTACCCTCATCATTATTTAACATGACATATTATATTTTCAAATCTCAACACCTCCAGAGTAAGTAAAACAATCACCTCTTACGTTGCAGGAGGAGGAACACATAAGGCCAAAAGTGATAAAGAATCGTAAATTTATTAGGTCATCTAGAGACCTAATGGTGCCAGTACCCGAGGATGGGGAGTCAGGTTTTAAAGGACTCTGGGCAGGCTTTTTCTGGGCAGAGAATTCTCTGGGCTTCTCTCTGGGCTGGTCCAGATCGGGGAGGGGAGTTAAGAGGTGGAGATAATGGTCTTAGGTCAAGTGGAATGTGGTCTATGGTAAGCAAAAGGGAATGCTGGTTGTGATGTAGTCAAAAGGTCAGTTCCCAGGGTTATCGATCCAATTACTTGATCAGAGGTAACAGTCTCCATTTTAGACATTTTTTTGAAGGTCACTCAGCAAATTCATTGCCAAAGTAGGACAAAGATGTAATTTGATTCCCAGTCCAATAGTCTCTCTACTATTTAATAATAAAATGTAGGAAATGGGAGCAGATTCCCCAAAATAGCAAGAATTAAAATTAAGTTGATGCCAAGTTTAAAGGTGCTGTTCAGAGACTTTAGCTGAGTTAGAACTCTCTGCCCTGCCCTCCCCTGTTTCACCAGCAATAAATTTGACTCCCAGTAGTCTCCAATGGAAGCAAGAATAATGACTTCATTTCCCAGACATCCCAACTGGGAAACAACAGTTACACCGTGCCCTGTGTTCCACCACTTTTTAACTCCATGCCTTTGGGTAAGTCACTTCACCTTTCATCTCAAGTACAAAACAGGGAGAGTAATAGTTTCTACCTTCTGGGACTACTGAGAGGATTAAATGAGTTAAATGCATGTAAGTGCTTTTATTTTTTAAAATATATTTTCATTGATTTCAGAGAGGAAGCGAGAGGGAGAAAGAGAGAAATATCAATGATGAGAATCATTGATCAACTGCCTCCTGCTCGTCCCCTACTGGGGATGGAGCCCACAACCTCTGGCACAGGCCCTGACCTGGAATCAAACCTTGACCTCCTGGTTCACAGGTCGACACTCAACCACTGAGCCACACCCACCAGGCATTTTATAGCCTTTTTTAACAAACCAGTAACCTAGTAAGTAAACTATTTTTCTGAGTTCTGTGAGCTTCTCTAGCAAATTAATCAAACCCATCAAGGGTGTTGGGGGAAGCTCACCTGAAGTGAATGGATACTCTTGTGTAACTGAGCCCTTCACCTGTGGAGTCTGACACTGACATCAGGCAGATAGTGTCAGAATTGAATTAAACAGCAGGCCACTCAGCTTGTCACAGAATTGCCTGGTGTAGGAAACCCGTATCTGGTGTCAGAAGTTAAGTAGTATTCAGAGAGTGTTGTATGTAATGGAAATGGAAATGAGTTTCTTCCTTTATAATCACAAAGACCAAGACTGGAACTGAAGCAGGAAGGGGGGTGGGCACATTGGGCTGCACAGCTGGAAGGCTTCAGTAGGAGGGCCCCGAGGAGAGAAAAGGGTAACGGCTCGCCTGGTGTAAAGGAAATGGTGTGAGGAAACCAGAGGAAGGAGTGTGCAACCTGATCTCCAACCTCTGCCACCACTTCAGAGCTAGAAAGCCAACTGTCACCAGTGATACCTAGCAACCGGCCCAGAGTCCAGTGGAAGAGACAGAACTGAAGTTTGCTTCAAATAGGCACATCTCTGTAAAATACACCTGCCCCTTGAAAGCTATTAACCTGCTTCCTAAATATAACCACCAGAACTTCACACCAGAAAACCCAACCTAGAAATTCAGGGGAAATGGTAGCAACGTTGCCTCTCTCACTCCATTCCTGTGACCTCAGCCCTGCACTGGAGGCCCCTGTCCCTGGGACATAGCAGCTACTTCTCTCTTCAGCTTCTTCTTTCACCTTCGGTAAAAGCCAACATCTCGCCCTAACCGGTTTGGCTCAGTGGATAGAGCATTGGCCTGCAAACTGAAAGGTCCCAGGTTCGATTCTAGTCAAGAGCACGTACCGTATTTTTCGGACCATAAGACGCACCAGTTTTTAGAGAAGGGAAATGAAGAAAAAAAGATTCTGAAACAAATAGTGTCCTAAAATATTTTATGTGCATTAAAACCCAACATCACAGTCATAAACACATGTAATCAACCCTGTAAAGTAAACAGCAGCATTTAGAACCATTTTAGAGCCGGGCAAGCACACAGAGACCACACAGAGCCAGGCAAGTAAAAAAACTTTTTTTTTAAAGTATATGTGTAGGCTATATTTAGACCATAAGACGCAGGGACTTTTTCCCCCCACTTCTGGGGGGAAAAAAGTGCGTCTTATGGTCCGAAAAATACGCCTTGGTTGCGGGCACATCCCCAGTAGGGGGTGTGCAGGAGCCAGTTGATCAATGTTTCTAATTCTCTATCCCTCTCCCTTCCCCCCTGTAAAAAAATCAATAAAATATGTATTTTTTTTTAAAAAGCAACATCTTTACAGTGGTTTATAAGACCCTACAGAATCTATCTTGGGATACCCTGCTGACCTCTTCCTCTCCAGCTCTTCTCAACCAACACTCCTGCTGCTCCAGCCACACCCACCTCCTTGCTAGCTCCCAACATGAGACACATCCTGGCCTTTACTTGCTGCCCCCTCCACCCGGGAGCTCTCTCCTTCATTCTTTCCAGTTTCTACTCAATTGCCACTGCATTTGAAAAAAAGGTAAACATAAAATTGAAATTAATTCTAATAACAGATTTTTATTTAACCCGATATATCCGAAATAATCACTTCAACATATAGTCAACATAAATACGTTATTAGATATTCTGAAGTCTTTTTTGGTTTGGTAACACATCTTTGGAATCGGTGTGTACTTTACACTTACAGCACATCTCAATTCAGACCAGTCACATTTCAGGAGCTCCAGAGCCACAGATGCTAGTGATGACAGCATTGGACAGCACAGCGCTAGGGAAAAAGAGGGTTATGGGGATCTTCAAAACAACACTTAAGGGCAGTAATAAGACTATGTACATGATCACTCAACTGCCAGAATGAGGACCTAAACCTCCAGTGACCTTCTAACCCCAAAGACTTTGTTCATTCTGGGACACAATAGAGACTACCTCACTTCAAACAATGGGATCTCGTGGCTGGCCTCAACCAGCTAAACTTAAAATCTCCAAAACAAAACTCATCCTCTCACCATGAGTGCCTCCTACTCCCTTCTCATCTCATTTCAGTTGATGGCACCATTATCTACCTACTCACTCAAGTCATCCTCTTTCATCTTTAGGTTAATGAGTACTTTGTCCAGAAGGTAATTTAAAATCTAAATGTTTATCAAAAAATGCTCCTTTCTCTCCACCCCAACTGAGCTTGCTCAGGCCACCTTCATCTGTCACCAGAACCTCCCCTCCCGCCCAGTTCTATTGAGATATAGTTGACATACCTAAGTTTAAAGCTTCAGCATAATGGTTTGACTTACATGAATTGTGAAATGATTATGGTAATAGGTTTAGTTAGCATTCGTCATCTCATATAGATACAATAAAAAGGAACAAACATTATTTTCCCTTAAAATTATGGACTGCTTCATGAATTTGCTTGGACAGGAGCCAAGCTTATGTATTATTCCAATTTTAGTATATATGCAGCCAGCACCAAGAACTCTCTAACTGGTTCCCTTCCTCAGTCTCTCCCCACACCCAGCTTCAACAGTAGTTACTACTGCATAAGGCCCTACAGGGCTCTCCATCCCCTACCTATAATGAAGGCCAAGTTCTTTTCACATGGCACGTAACTCCCTCCAGGATCTCATCTTGGCTTACCTGTCTAACAGTGCCCCATAGTTTGCCGTTTCTGGAACCTGAACAAGTTTACTTAACCTCCTCAGAGCCTGCTACTCTTCTGTAAAAATAGCCATCCTAATCTCTCAAAAAGCTGACCTGCGGTTTAAAAGACATCATAAATACATTTTAAACAGTACACAATCGGGATTTACTCTCCCCACCCCTTCTTTGCATTTTATATCTGCTATATCTACCGAGTGCCTGTTTTCAATTCAATAGTGTTTATAGAATACTTACTATGCGCTAGGCCCTGTGTGGAAACAAGACAGAGGGTACACAGAAAAGTAGGCTGAATGACATTCTCGTTGCCTTCCTCAAGCTCATTACAATACAGTTTCGCAACCAGTATCTTTAAAGACTACACAGACTCTAACATTATCAGCAAATCAAAGTCCAAGCCGGGCTGAGTCCCCGGGGGTCTCCACGTCCCGGAACCTCTGCTTTCCGGGTCCCGATCGGAGACCAGGAAGCCTGCAACCCGGAGCGCAGCACCCCCACCCCACCCCCCCAGCCCACCCTCACAATCCCCCACGTGGCAGGAGCGGGGCGGGGCCAGGCGGCGCAGGCCGGGCCGGGACCTTCGCGCCTGCGCGCTGCGGCCGGCGCTAGGACCCGGATTTAAAGAGACAGGCGACACCACCGCGGCGGCGGAGCGCGGCCGGGGGGCGCCGGGTCGGAGGCCTTCGCTGGGTGCCGGAGCCGGGAAGGCAGGTGAGCAGCGGCGCGGCGGTGGGGAGGCCGGCGGCCCTGCGCGAAGTCCGGCGCGGCCGGGAGGCGCCCCCTCCGCTCCTTCCCCGCCCGCCCGCCGCGGAGTGCGGGCACACCCTCGGTGACGTGGCGGCCCCCCGGGAGCCCACGGGGGCCGGCGCGCCGCTCCCTGGACCCCCAGGGTCCACGCCGAGGAGGGTGCCCCCGCGGCCCGGCCGCGGCCCTTTCTCCCCCAGCCCTGGCGGTGTCCCCGGGCCCCCGGCGTCGGCCTCCCGGGAGCCCCTGCCCCGAAAGCCCCGCGGGCAGGTCCTCCAGGAAAGGCGGCGGCGGAGGCTCTCACTCCCGCCCGTGCAGCCCACGGGGCCGGACTCGGGGCTGGGACCCCCCGCTTTCCTCCGGGCAGCGCCGCCCGCCCGCCCGGGCCTCCGCACCCCGAGCGCAGGGCGCGCCTCTCCCGATGGGTGTGGGCTGCTTCGTCAACAGCTCCGAGGAATGTTCTCGGCTCCTTTGTGAGCCTGCCGTACATACTTCCCTGTCCTTCACCTCCTGGTCCTTCATGTTTATTGCTTTTTAGAGAGAGAGAGGAAGGGAGGGAGAGAAACAATGATGGGAATCAGATTGGCTCCCTCTTGCACGCCCCCTACTGGGGGATCCCGTCTGCAACCCGGGCATGTGCCCTGACCAACCCGCAATGGAACTGGGACCCCCGATTCATGGTCCATGCTCAACCACCGAGCCACACCGGCCAGGCTCTGTGGGTCCTAACTTTTTCGAGGTTGGAGAGTTTTTTTGTGTGTGTGAATTTCATGGAAATCATAGAGTGCTCCAAAAAAAATATGCATTTATGAATATGCACATTTTGTATACATTTTTAAGGCGTTCACAGTCCACCCCGCACAAGCCACACACCAGCCCATCCATGGACTCATTCTAACTTCCCGACACATTCTGGGAGGTAGGTATTATTTCCCCTGTTTTAGAAATAAGAAAACTGAGACTCAGCCCTAGCCGGTTTGGCTGGTAGACCCTCAGACTGAAGCATCCAGGCTTCACATTCCAGCCAAGGGCTCCTGTCCCCAGCCTGGTGGGGGAGTGTGCAAGAGGCAACCAGTTGATCTCTCTCTCACATCGGTGTTTCTCTCTCCCCACTCCCTTCCACTCTCTAAAAATCAATGGGGAAATAGTCTTGGGTGAGGATTAACAACCAAAACAGACTCAGGCATTTCTCAAAGATAACATAGCCCTAAACTGTAAGGTCACACTTGCACTCTCATCCTCCATTCCCATCCGCCTGCTTTCCCCTGCATCACATTGCACTGCGTTAAGTGAAGTCTGCTTTTCATTATATGTAACCCAATAGCAGTTTCACACAAAGCAGTGTACAGGTTGGAGTAATTTCTAGTATATTTAAAATCAGACCTATGAAGATACTTCAGAAAGTAGGAATCTAAGAAAACGAGGGGATACCATGCACGTATTATTCCTGTTTCCATTGGGATTGATTCATCCGTTCCTTTGATCTTGGATAAGATACTTCAGCATTCCCTGACTCGAGTTTCTGAAATATTAACAGGCTAATTGCACATCGGGAGTCTCTCTGGGTGCCCAGCTCTGTTCTAAAGGCTTTCCTCTTAGTGACACGTCCTTGAGCTTGGCACAGTTATTATCCACACTTTACAGCTGAGGAAACTGAAGAAAGGAGAGGTTAAGTAACCTACCAGGGTCACACAGCTAATGAGCTAGGACTTGAACACAAGCAGTCTGATTCTAAGGCTTCCTTTAATTGCTTCCCAAAATAGGGCTTCTGATTAAATTACTGATCTACATAGATGTGGCTTAGTTTCCAAGGGTGGCATATATCTATACTTCATATTAAAAACATGGAGCCGGGCCTGCGTGGCTCAGTGGTTGAACATTGACCTATGAATAAGGAGGTCAGAGTTCAGTTCCCAATCAGAGCATTACATGCCCAGGTTTCGGGTTAGACCCCCATTGATGTTTCTATCTCTCCCTCTCCCTTCCTCTCTGAAATCAATAAAAATGTATTTTAAAAAAACAAAACTTCATGGGCATGTAATTTTTCTTGGTGATTAAAAATAAAGCTTCAGGTCTTGTAATACTTAAGGTCATCATTCATTTTGAGTATCGGGTGTTGCTGATGGCCTGAGAAAAGCTTTTATGTTATTTGGATTCTCTTGATTGTGACTTGCTAATTATATATGTGTACATTAGATAATTGAATACTCTGCAGACTGAATTTTACTGTATTAGAACTCTTCATCCTCACTGGCATTAAATCTTTTATCCATTGGGAAGGGTTTGATGAGCTGGCATAGACTGTATAGGACCTTGGCCTTGGAGAATTTGAAAGCCTAGCTCCTCGTTTATATCTCACCTTTTCTGCCTCTCTCCCTTTTTGTGCAGCTGTATGACTTGGACTTTCAAGATCCTCTTCCCACCGACCCTCCGTGTGCTCAGCCGAAAAGAAGTCCGCCTGTTCCGAGAACATCTCCGGCCAGACGTGAAACCCTTCAGCCAGCTTCATGGGCGCTGCCTCCTCCAGAAGAGCAAGCCCGTTCTGCCCTTTCAGAAAGGCAGTCTGAGACCACGTGCCACCTGCCTTGCCTTCTCGCCAGGGTCGCATGTGGGGCTCTGCAGCGGGCCCTGTGAGATGGCCGAGCAGCGGTTCTGTGTGGACTATGCCAAGCGCAGCACAGCTGGCTGCAAAAAATGCAAGGAGAAGATCGTGAAGGGCGTGTGCCGCATCGGCAAGGTGGTGCCCAATCCCTTCTCGGAGTCGGGGGGTGACATGAAAGAGTGGTACCACATCAAGTGCATGTTTGAGAAACTGGAGCGGGCCCGGGCCACCACAAAGAAAATTGAGGACCTCACGGAGCTGGAAGGCTGGGAGGAGCTGGAAGATGCTGAGAAGGAGCAGATCAGCCAGCACATTGCAGGTGGGGTGAATACTGCTTTCTCATCTCCCTGGTACTGAGAAAAAAAATGACAAGGAGAGTAGAGTCCAATGTGTATCTGTCTGTCTCCTGTTAATTTTATTTGAAAATGATTTCAAATTCACAGAAGAGTTGCAAGAATAAAAGTAGTACAAAGAGCATTTCTATTCCCTTCACCCAGATTTACCTTTCGTTGACATTTAACTGTCTTTGGTTTATTGTCTGTGTTTATGTATGCTCTCTCTGTTACTCTCTCCTTACACACACACAGTTTAAGAATAGGAACATTCTCTTATGTGACCATCCCACATACAGCTAGCGACTTTGGTAAATGTATTCTTTATAATAGTCTAATTCTTTATAATCTACCATCTGTATTCCAGTTTTGTCCGGTTGTTAATATCTTTTATAGCATTTCTCCCCCTCCAGGATGGAATCCCTATCTTATGATGATGAATTAAACTTAGTACTATCTCTTTGGCCTCCTTTAATCTGGAACATTCCAGTCTTTTATTACATTGACATTTTTGAACAGAATATTTATTGGTAGATCAGTTTTTTCTATCAGTGTATTTTCAGTTTGGACTCACAGATAACTTCTTTTTCCTGGTGGCTGATAATTTTAGTATGCTTTATTAATTTGGTACTTTAATGTACAGTTGCGAGATGCTTTGAGCTGGTTTCTGTGTCCTGAGTGCCTTTATCTTGTTTTTTAAAATGTTTTCAAGTACTCCCTTACTCTCTGGCATGACAGGATGCTCTTAGGTTTACCTTCTGTGTATCCTCTGCCTGCCCTGGGACCCGCCATTCTCTGAAGAGTCCAGGTTCCTGTCAGTGAGGAGTGGCATTAGAAACCAAAATCTGAATGCCACGTGTCCTTGTTGCCCTGAGGTACCTTTGGTGGAACTAGAAAATGTATGTGTGTAATGAAACGCACGTACACAAACACATATAAATAATAAAGGCTCACCTACATATTTATATTAATGTCTATTTAGAAATCATATACTGATAGTACCAAATCCAATTAGTCCTTTATGACCATCAGTGAAGTAATATTTAAAGTAATACCCATATCTTCAATTAAATATAGTTTTTGTCACTGTAGGAGGACTCTGTGGCTCTAAAAATGGGCATCCTTGTTTTGTTTTGTTTTTATCCTTGTCTTTTGAGAGGGGAAAAGACATCCAGGAGAGAAAACTTCTCGTATATACCTTTCTCAAGCTCCCTGTCCTCCTGTGCCCTGCCTTAGCCATTGGCCTCGGCCTGTTGCTTCTTGGCCCATCTCATTCCGAGGAAGGAAAATATACTGTCTCAGCTCAACTCAGTGGCCAGAAGTTTTCCTTCTCTGCCCTTTTCACTTACTTGCTTGTGTATCTAAAAATTGGGGCTAATTCCATGAAAATACTTGGGAACCTCAGCATCTGTTGAGAGAATGATTTCTGAGATTTCTGATTTCCCCCAAGTTAATCTGGAGATTATTATATGTGGAATAAGAGGTAGAGAGTGATGAAAATGTAAGCTATTAATAAATAAAGGGTAACTGGGTCTTCTGTCCCCAGAACACCCTTTCCCATAACCAGGTACCTCCACCCAGCAGCAGTCAGCCTTGGGGTAACACCATGGTTACCAAGCAAGGCTGTAAGAGCAGTTGATAGGTCATTTGGAAACTTTCTCTGGGATCTTCCGCTGAAGGCTGCTTTCCTTTCTTTTGGGGTCCTGCAGATCTGTCTTCCAAGGCAGCAAGTGCGCCAAAGAAGAAAGCCGTTGTCCAGGCTAAGCTGACAACCACGGGCCAGGTGACATCTCCAGTGAAAGGGGCTTCACTTGTCACCAATACCAATCCCCGGAAGTTTTCTGGCTTTGCAGGTAAGCTAGGTCAGGTCCTCCTTTTATTCGTTATCCTGTTTGGGACTGTGGCTAAGAGTGAAATTCTGTCTCATTAATAATTTGCTTCCATCTGAGCAGAGACAGATAATGCTAATTCGCAACACTCTACCAATATTGCATTTCTTTGTGTACTTTATTGTAACAGAAAGATATTTGCTTTGTGATTATATCTCCCTTCGAAGTAGTTACTTGGGTCAGACAGCTTATTATAACCTGCCCTATACTTCCTTGTTTTGTTTTGTTTTTATAATGAAAGAATTTTGAAAAATTGCTTCCTTAAACTTGCCCAAACTAGAGATGAAAGGAGAAGGCAGGTAGCATACATGTCTTATGTAACAGACCGCAATGGGCAAGGGAGGGGCTTTTTCATATGCAGTTTTTGTTCTTCAGTTAACTTAGAAATTACTTTCATTAGGTCTATTTTGTAATGAAAAAGTTGATATTCAAGTTTATTACGGAATCAGTATTAATACTGAAGTCTGTTTAACTCCATCACGTGTGCTCTTCTCCCCTACATCCTCTTGTGCCTTATTTGGAAACATTGTCTGACTAACTCGGGTCGGAAAATGAAGCCAAAACACATGGACACAGGAGTTGTTTGGATGGTAGCTTTCTGTGAGTAAAAGAAGCCTAGACTTGAGAAGACTGGGTCCTGGTTCCAGCACCGGACCCAACAGCTTGCTCAGGGGATCAAGTCACTCCACCTCTGAGCCTCTGTGGCCTCATGTGAGAAGTGGGAATGGCAGCACCTGCCTCCGGTATCCCACAGTGTTCTCACGAGACTATGAGAGAGGTTGTAAAAGGGTGCCTGAGTCTATGGGATTTTTATTAGTTTAAATTCTGAGGTGCTTTTTCTGTGTTAATGGTAGGCCAAAGGTAGAGAACAGTTCACGTGGCCATCAGGACAGCATGTTTCTGGAAAGGCCCTGGTCCTGGGGAGGGAATTTGGGAGAAGTTGAGGGAAACAAGGTGATCTGGTTCTTGCTGAACATCGATGCTTTGAAGATTTGTCCACTAGCATCCTATTTAGACTCCAGATCAGAGATGAAGATGCATTTATCATTTACAAAGCCAGAGCTGCAGTTTACATCAGCAAGCTGCTTGCTAATGACTCTGCTGCAAGCTTGCAAAGTGAAATTTGTTTTGTGAATTGTCCCAGAGACCTAGAGGGGATCACTGAAGAGGTGTACAGTTATTTTGGGGTGTCTGGAAGAAAAGCCCTGCTCGTTGGCAACCTTTAAGAAAGAAAGGAAAGTGGTGATGGGGGTGGCAAAGGGCTGGGAATGTCTCTCTTCTCAGGCCTAGGTCTTCTCGTCAGGAAGAAGAGCTTGAACTAGATGATATTGTGGCTTCTTCCAGCTCTGACAGTCTGCGGTAGCAATGATTCCACGTTGACTAACTCGTCCTTTGATTTCTTCCTCCTTCCTCATCCCAACTTGCCCAGGGTCAGCTTTACATACAACTGCTCTGAGACCTCCTGGCCGCTTTTGGCATGAGGTGGCCTTTGTTCTCTGGAGTGCTCATATAGAGATGCTCCTCCCCTGGTCCTCTGCTTGGGTGAAGCCACTGTTTCTTTGCCAGTAATAGCTGTGAGATTTGGGGAAATTACCTTCGTTTCTTTACCTATAAAATGTGATATATGTACCCCACAGGGCTATGTTGGGGGATTAAGTGGAGCTGCCTATAGGGCACCTGTAGCGTACCTGTTGGTTTCCCTTTCCTCCTTCTCAGTAAAGAAAAATTATCATCTCTGATGTTTCCTCTCCAACAGCCAAGCCCAACAACTCTGGGGAAGCCTGCGCAAGCCCCACCCCTAAGGCAAGTCTGTCCTCAAGCAAATGTGACCCCAAACACAAGGATTGTCTGCTGCGTGAGTTTCGGAAGTTGTGCGCCATGGTGGCCGACAATCCTAGCTACAATTCAAAGACCCAGATCATCCAGGACTTTCTTCGGAAAGGCTCAGCTGGAGGTGAGGCTGGAGCATTCTGGTGGGCTTTTCCTCTAGAGAGCTCAGAGCCATGGCCGGATTTGTGGGCATGTGAACTGTACAGGTGCACAGGTTGAATGCTCTGCTATTGCTGGCTTGAAATTCTTTTTTTCCTTAGAGGCCCAATACACAAAATTTATGCAAGGGGCTCAGCCCCCGCCACCATGGCAGCTGCCTCTTGCCTTACAATGGCCTCCGCTGCCTCTGCCTTGGCTCCCGGCCCCTGCAGATTCATCTGGAAGGTCGTTCGGTCTAATTAACACATTATGCTTTTATTATTATAGATTTATTTACTTCAGAAAGGAAGGGAGAGGAAAGAGAGAGATAGAAACATCAATGATGACAGAATCATTCTTCAGCTGCCTCCTGCATGCCCCACACTGGGCATGGAGCCTGCAACCCAGGCATGTGCCCTGGCCGGGAATCGAACCGTGACCTCCTGGTTCATAGGTCAATGTTCAACCACTGAGCCATGCCGGTTGGGCCAATTCTTAATAATTTTGAATAAAGAGCCCCACATCTCCATTTTTGTACTGGGCCTCGCCAATTTGTAGCCAGTTCTGCTTTGAGCACATTGGCATCTTTCTTCCCTTGCTCTTATTCCACCCCCAGGAGACCAGAATAATTAACCCCATTTGAGCAAGAGGAAGATTCACTCTTGTGTATGTTTTGTCTAGTTTTTTGTGAATCACTGCACAGCTTGGGATAGAAACTTCCAACTCTGTGCTTCTTTCATTCACCTAACAAGTCATCACTGAGCATCTACAATGTGCTCATCACTCAAGTGAAAGTCATGGCCCTGCTCTGTGGGAGTTCACCCAGGGGCCACGTTAGGGGAGGCAGACACATGAACCCCAAACACTGGCCTCCTGCTGTCTCAAGTGCACAGCTGCTGGAGCAGCACCGGCAGCAATGGAGACATCCCTCAGTTCCTTGAGTTTATGTATTTACTCGTTTAAGCTCCTTTCGTCTGTCTCCAGATGGTTTCCACGGTGATGTATACCTAACGGTGAAGCTGCTGCTGCCGGGTGTTATTAAGAGCGTTTACAACTTGAATGATAAGCAGATTGTGAAGCTTTTCAGCCGCATTTTTAACTGCAGCCCAGATGACATGGCCCGAGACCTAGAGCAGGTCAGAGGGGAGGGAGGGCGGGCGGCACTCCGGGTGGGGCTCCGCCAAGCCCGGCACCTGCGATCTCTCTTTCTGGTCCGGCACAGGCCGTTTCGGGAACTGAAACCCTTTGAGCTAGCTTCCGTTCTGAGAGAGCTGAAGGGGAGGCTGCAGCTGTTCGTTTCATAAGGTTTTGAGGATTGAAGTCCTATTACTGCTGAACCACGAAAGCCAGTGCTCGAGGTTCGGGATTTAAGACTTCCTGCTATCTCTCCTGGGGCTCTTTTTGGACCCTGTTTTTTCCTTGCTTCTTCCCCTCTCCCCCATAACTTGGGCTCACCATTCAGCTTTGGTGTGCCCATGGCTCTAGCTCTGGCACCGTGGAAAGTTTCTGTCTGAGCATCCCTCTCCCCCGTTATCTGATGACCATATTTGTCTCTTAGTTCAAATTCTAACGGGAATCAGATTGGCTCAGCCCTGAATTAGTCCTTGTGTCACTTTTCAGCTAAGGCAGTTGGCCAGATCCTTTAGTGAACGGAGGTACTCCTTCTGGACACTGGGTGGGGTCAGTGTGTGAGCTGGGGATAGGAGCGATGATTGAAATCTCTTCAGGTCCTAGGGATCGGGGATACCCTTGGCCAGTTTGGGGTTGCAGCAGTGGCGTTTTGGTTTTTGGAGACAGGGTGACGTGTCAGAGACAATCAGAGTCTTCTTTGAGCAGAGCAAGTCTTTCCCCCCAGCCGCCAAGAGCCTCCTCACCATCCAGGAGGTGGACGAGTTCCTCCTGCGGCTCTCCAAGCTCACCAAGGAGGATGAGCAGCAGCAGGCCCTGCAGGACATCGCCTCCAGGTCGGGGAGCTGCCCAGTGGAGAGGGGCGAGGGGAGATGGGATCACTGGGAGGAAGGTTTGGGGATCAGAGCTCTTCAGAGACCACGTTGAATGTGCCTCCTCCCCAGGTGTACAGCCAATGACCTTAAGTGCATCATCAGGCTGATCAAACACGATCTGAAGATGAACTCAGGTGCAAAACACGTGTAAGTACTAGCACCTCTGACAACCTAAGCTGCCAGCTTCCTTTGTTGCCAGCTGGTGTCAGGACTTTGGAGCCCAATCTGGATTTGAATCCTGATCCTACCTTCTTCTTTTCTGGGGGACCTGTCACTTGGCCTCGCTCAGCCTCCGTTTCCCCATATGTAAATGGAGGAAACACACCCTTCTCACAGGAAGCATAATGCCAGTCAGTTGCCCCTCCAGCCCCCACTTGGCTAGAATAGCATCCTCATAGGCACAGAGTCTCAGAAGAGCTCGCTGTCCAAGCTCTTTTCTCCTGTGACGGTCTTAGACAATAGGACATAGCCCCGCCCCCTCTCTCCTCTGTGAGGACAGCCCGCCGTCCAGAGCAGTACGGTCAAAGGCAGGGGGTTTGTGTCTGTGCTCCTGTCCACATCGGCAGGTTAGACGCCCTCGACCCCAACGCCTACGAAGCCTTCAAAGCCTCGCGCAACCTGCAGGACGTGGTGGAGCGGGTCCTTCGCAACGAGCAGGAGGTGGAGAAGGAGCCAGGCCGGAGGCGAGCTCTGAGCGTTCAGGCCTCACTGATGACCCCAGTGCAGCCCATGCTTGTAAGGAGGCTGCTCGGGCCCTGCCTTCTCCCCCTCTCTGGGTCCCCTCTCCTTCCTTGGGAGATGTAGGAAGGTGCGAATGCCGATTTCCTCCCCCACCCCCAAGGCCGAGGCCTGCAAGTCCATTGAGTATGCGATGAAGAAGTGTCCTAACGGCATGTACTCCGAGATCAAGTATGACGGGGAGCGAGTCCAGGTGCATAAGGACGGAGACCACTTCAGCTACTTCAGCCGCAGCCTCAAGCCCGTCCTACCTCACAAGGTCAGGCGCCTTTCTTCCTACCAGGACTGGTTTTTCCCTTCTGCCTCTTTAAGACTCAGGGCCGGAGTGCCATAGCCATGCCAGCCCTGCTCTGCCATAGGTTTGTTTTGTGTTTGTTGAGTAAATGAATGAATTCACTCATTCATTCTTGGACTCTTCTAATGATGAGGAGGCCAGCCAGAGCCCAGACCTGGGTTAGTCAGCACAGAGCCCCAGGGGACGTTGGTGCTTCCCCTGCCCACAGTGAAGGTGGGACAGAGAGCCTATTAGAAACTGGCAGAAACTGGGGCTCTGCTTTGATCAGAAAAATTTAATTCCAAGCATCCTTTCTTACCGCTTTGAAGATGGCTCTGGGTTCAGAGCTCCCACTCAGAGAAGTCTCTCTCGGGTTTCCTTGCTGCTCCTAAGGGGGTTCATTTCTTTCTTTCCATCTTTTCCCATCCAGTCTGTTCTCAGCCCCTCCTCCCCAGATCTCTGCCTGCCCACCTTTGCTGCCTCCCTTCCTATTGGCCTGCCCCTCATATTGTTTCTTCCTTTTCCGCCAAACTCCTCGGTAGCCCATAGAAAAGGACTCAGCATTTGCCCGCCTCCCCCTGGGTCCGGGCAGGGTTCGGAAACAGCCCCTCTCTGTCCGGTGGCTGACAAGGCCTAGGTCTGTGTCATCCAGGAGCGGAGCTTTACATGTGTTGGTGTTGTGTGTTCCTGCTGGGGCCAGCTTTGCTTTCTGTGGCGTGGCTTCAGGTCCTGCTGCCTGCTTCTCCCTCCCTCACTGAGTCTTCTGCCTCCAGGTGGCCCACTTTAAGGACTATATCCCCCAGGCTTTCCCTGGGGGCCACAGCATGATCTTGGACTCTGAGGTGCTCCTCATCGACAACAAGACCGGCAAACCATTGCCCTTTGGGACGCTGGGCGTGCACAAGGTACTGGCTCAGGGCAAAGGTGCAGAATGAGCGTGTGTCTGCGCGCACTGACAGTGGAGAGCGATCGCTCACTTAGGGTTGGGCTTATTCTTCATTTCTGAACTGTTTCTCAATTAACCCAGAGTTTAAGTCTTCCTTTTTTACATAAAAAGGATCTAGTGTTGGGAACTATTATTGGGTTGGTTTCTATTCAGGACCATTTGCTAAGTGCCCTTATGGACCAGGGACCTCAGAGCACAAATAGGTGCTTCAGAAGGTCTCTAGAAGTAACTGTATTACCCATTTTATCCTCTCATCTATTTTTCCCTCTGTACCTACTACCCTCCTCTGCCCTTACAGAAAGCTGCCTTCCAGGATGCTAATGTCTGCCTGTTTGTTTTTGATTGTATCTACTTCAATGATGTCAGCTTGATGGACAGGTGAGGAACCTATTTTCAGTTCTGGGTAGGGAGGTGGGAAGTTCGGATTGGAAAGGAGGGGAGAGAAGGAGCTGGGCAGGGCCAGGGGCAGTGGCAGGAGAAGACAGAGGTAGCACACTTGCGACACATCAACTCCCCATTTAGTGCTAGGAAGAGAAGAGATGACTAGGCCTCATTTCTGAGACCCTAAGTCACAACCCCGCCCCCAAACTTTCTCCGCTACAGCAGAATGGACCACTGACAAAAATAGACTGTGAGCACAGTAGGGTTTCAGTTTCTCCAACAGCACCCATGGGGACATGAGGCAGAGGTTTTGCCTTCTGAGAGGCTCACAGCAGGAAGCTCATGATGCGGGGGGGGGGGGTTGTGGGCGAGACCATTTTAGGAAGAACTAGCTGCCTCCAAATTCTTAGGCTCAAGAAGCCAGTACTGGCCTCTTCCACACTTAGAAAGTGTACGTACCCGTGTCACCGCCCCCACACTGGCTCACATCCTTGAGCGTGGAGGGGGGAGGGCAGTGGGAGGGAGAAAGAAGTGCTGAGGGTAGGAGTTGGGGTTTGGGCTTCAGGTCCTGAGGCCTATGGTCTGCTGACCCAAGAAACAGCCAGCCTTGGACCTGGGGTGAGGCAGGTGCCAGGGATAAAAAACAAAGAGTAGGCAACCTTTTTTGGGTGGGACCAGAATTCATACAATCTGTTTGGGCTGGAGGTCAGTTCTCCCATGATTCAATGACATAGAAACAGGAACCATAGGATGAGGTGGCTCTATGCCACAGCTCACATTGCCTGGGAGGGAGCCCCCGTAGCCTCGATGGGCAGAACTGTTAGCCACAAGGGCTTGGAGCCGGGGCACAGTGTCATGAAGCAGTGTGTCATTGTGTCCCTTCCTCTTTAGAACTAAAGGGGGTGGGAGGATCCTGGCCTGACCGGCTCTCATGTCCCCTGTAGGCCTCTGTGTGAGCGGCGGAAGTTTCTTCATGATAACATGGTTGAAATTCCCAACCGGATCATGTTCTCAGAAATGAAGCAAGTCACGGTGAGAGAAGACCCACCTAGACAGCACCCAATGGCTTGAAAGCGGGGCAGAGAACCCCATGGGCCCGATGTGACTGGATGAGTTATTTTATGGGGGCTGCTGATGTGCATGTGTTGTCTCCTAGTCTCCACCTAGGAGGGCAGAGCATGAAACCTCCTAGATGGGCTCTCTGTGTCTCAGAGACACAGCGTCTTGGCTTTGAGACACAGGGAGTCCCTGCTCTGCAAACCCTTTGTTCTGTGTATTCAAGACAAGGTGTTTCTACGTAGCCCCCTCTCAATTCTCATACGCACTTGATTCTCAGCATCTCTCCTCTTATCCCTCAGAAAGCATCCGACCTGGTGGACATGATAAACCGGGTGATCCGAGAGGGCCTGGAAGGGCTGGTGCTGAAGGACGCAAAGGTAAAATGGTCCCAGGCGCTGCCTTCTCCTGTGCACAGCCCTCCCTGCTGAGCCCTTCCAGCCCTGGCCAGGAGATGGCAGTGGCAGCCTGCGGTGTTGGGAACGGGTGCTGAGGGGCATCTTTCCAGGGTTTGGACAGCTCTGTCTGGATCTAGAGAATGGGTTGCTGTGTCTCCTGTAGTGCTGGAGCCCAAGGGCTCTTCCCTAGAGTGGGATGGGCAGTGGAAGGTCTGATACGTTGTGTGAAGAGTTAAATCCCGCCCTCATGGCGTTTCCATTCTAGTTTGTGGTCTCTCTCTTGCTTCCCCTCAGGGTACATATGAGCCTGGAAAGCGGCATTGGCTGAAAGTGAAGAAAGACTATCTGAATGAGGGGGCCATGGCTGACACCGCTGACCTGGTGGTCCTTGGGGCCTTCTATGGGCAAGGGAGCAAAGGTCAGGGTGGCTCTGGCCTTGGGCAGATACTTCTTTGAAAGGCACCACTCGGTACGGGCTGGCCTTTTACCGGTTTGATTTGCCAGCAAGGCCAGCCATGACTTGCAAAGTTCTGGATCAGCGAGCGGTTCCCAACTCAGCCCATGTCACCTCAGCACAGCGACATCTGAGAGCTAAGGACTTGGGCAGGCAGGGGTCAGACAAGAATAGCCTGTGCTAACCCAGCACAAAGAAACGCCACCAACCAAGGGGTCTGGCAGCCTTCTCCTCAGAGAAAATCTCAATTTCCTGGCTGGAGGGAAAGCTGAGGTCTGAAGAACTAGTACTCTTAGGACCTACTGTGTGGCAGGCACTATTCATTTCCTTTTAGTCCTCACCAGAGCCCAACAAATTGTGTGATTATCCCTAATTTACCGATGAGGAAATTGGGGCTCGTAAAGGTTAAACTTACACAGTAAGAGGTAGACCCAAGAGGTGATCTCGCACTCTGAGGCCAAGGCCCAGGCCCACTGCTCACCAGCAGGCTGACTTGTGGGCGGGTGGGGCGGGCAGAGAGAGCTTCCTCCGCCCACAACCCAGTCCTCCCTCCTCCCAGGTGGCATGATGTCCATCTTCCTCATGGGCTGCTACGACCCAAGCAGCCAGAAGTGGTGCACAGTCACCAAGTGTTCGGGAGGCCATGACGACGCAACGCTCGCCCGCCTGCAGAAGGAGCTAGACATGGTGAAGATCAGCAAGGTAGGGAGACCCGCTGGCCCCGGCCTCGGCTGGCCCTGGTCTCAGACAGGCGCACTTTTGGGACCGCAGGTAGCGTTTATCTCTGTTCATGGGAGCAGTGTTAGGCCTTCAGCGTCTCCAAGCGCCTGCCTACCTTGTGGAAACGGCTGCAGGCACTCCAGGTCACCCCCTTTTTGGGCAGGGAGGACCCCACGAGCTGAGGGTCAGCCTTCTGTGCTGAGTCACCTCTTCTCATGGTCCCATGACTGGGAGAGGGTGAAGTCTGGTTTGGGCTTGGGAATAACCCAAGACAACATCTTTTTTCCTCCAGGATCCCAGCAAGATACCCAGCTGGCTGAAAATCAACAAGATCTACTATCCCGACTTCATCGTCCCAGACCCGAAGGTATCAACCCAGCGGCCTGCGGTCCTTCAGCCCATAGAGGCGGCTTGCAGATTCTCTAGGGCCGCAGAGATGCCTTCGCAACCCCACCCAGGGGCAGGGGCCTGGGCTGCGCAGCCAACACCGAGAAATCCTCCTCACTGGAGAGGGAGAGACTGCCCGCCCAATCAGAGGTCTGCTCTAGAAGTGACCTGGCCCAGGCCCTGCTCCCAGTAAGAGAAACTGAGGCCAAAGAAGACAGTACTTCCAAGGTCACACAGCAGCAGCAGCGGGACATGACCCATCCCCCCGCCAGGGCTCGAGTCCTGTCTGCCCTGCTCCCAGCTGGGGGGCAGCTGCTGCCTCTCACCCGTGAGTGACCCGGCTTCCTCCCGACAGAAAGCTGCCGTGTGGGAGATCACAGGGGCCGAGTTCTCCAAATCCGAGGCTCACACTGCCGACGGCATCTCCATCCGGTTCCCTCGCTGCACCCGGATCCGGGATGATAAGGACTGGAAATCTGCCACCAACCTCCCCCAGCTCAAGGTGCCAGCTGCACGTGTGACCTCCAACCATTATCCCAGCCTTGAGACCGTGGGCATTCGGCCTGTTCCCATGTCCTCTGCTGTCTTCTTCCCATTCCACCGACAGGCAAGGACAGGTAGAAAGGGACACCAAACTGCGGCAGGGCCAGGAGCACAGCGCTGGGCACCCGGCTGGGTGCTAGGTCCTAGAGGGAAGCTCCTGCTGTCACAGCATCCTGCTGAGGGCTCGGCCCCAGGCTAGTCTCTACATTCTTAATAAGAACAGAATAGTACAGTGATTTGTACAGATTACTCAAGGAAACAGAGCCAAGGTTTAGAAAGGTGTCCGGGAAGCCAGCTGCTTTTCCCTAGGGATTTGTCTCTCCCCTGTGTGTTCCCCAGCCACATATGCCTACAACAGGCTACCAGACCACCTCTGAGGCCGTACTCCCTCCCCTCCTCCGCAGGAACTGTACCAGCTGTCCAAGGAGAGGGCGGACTTCACCGTGGTCGCTGGAGACGAAGGGAGCTCCACTTCAGGAGGCAGCAACGGAGAGAATGAGGGCACGTCGGGGCCTCCTGTGCCTAAGAAGGCCAGAACCTCCCCCAGTCAGTCCTCCCCCAGTGCCAAGAAGGCCGGAGGGAAGCTGCACCACCCCAACAGCAAAAATGGTAAGAAGGGAAGGGCAGTGTGAGGTGGACATCAAAGGACAGGACCCAGTCTCCCATTCCAGCTCTCGGATCATGTGATTCTTTGTCCAAGCAGCTGACATTGACTGCACTCCTGTTGTGTGTCCAGCCATGGGCCAGAGTCCATTCAGCTGGGCACCCTCCATTGCTCAGTAAACCTGTGACAGGACCGGGAGAGCCCATCTCTGGGCATTAGCTACCTCTGGGCTCTCCCTTCTCACCCTGCTCCTAGCAGAGCAGGCCTGGCCCTGTCTGCTGCCCTGACCTCGGACCACTGTCGACTCCCCTTACCCTCTCCTTAGCTCTCACCCCACACGCTCTCCTGCAGGGCACAAGCCGACGGCAAAGCCTTCCCCTGTGAAGGGGGGGGAGAAGCTGGGCACGAAGTCTGCTGTGAAAGTGGGGGAGAAGCGGAAGGCCTCTGATGAGACCCCGTGCCACGCCAAGGTGAGGGTGAGGAGTGCACCAGGGGCCGGTTTGGTCCAGGGCCTCATGTTCCCAACAACGTGCACTTGAACTTTGAGAGATGAGCAAAGGTGTTTTGGGGACTAATGGCCTAACCCCTCCCCTCCTCAGCTGCTCTACCTGTGCCCTCTCGTTGCCTTGCAGAGGCGGCTGGCCAGGGAGCCGAGAGGAAGGAGAGCTGTGTCTGCAGGCAGGAGGTAGACAGCCCAGCCCAGCCGAGAGGCTGCGGGGACCCACCCGGCTGCTGATCCCAGTCACAGTTGACATTAAAGGGGAGAAAGCCCAGTGTGGGTGTGGGAGTGCAGCGGTGTGAGTTTGTGCTCAGGGCGGGTGCAGGGCCAGCCAGCAAGGAGCAGAGAGGGTATGCATTGGCTTTTTCCCCTTGGAGCTCCCTCAGGTTTTGACTACACCACCACTTACCGAGGCCAGAAACTAGGCTCAACCCTGGGGATGCTGGTGGCCCAAAGGGCAGATAGAGAAGCAAGCCTTTGGTCACTGGAGAGTGTGATCACCCCACCCACACCTGCCAGAAGTCCGGCAGCTCGGGCCCTGACAGAGGCCCCAGCAGACCTGGGGAAGCTTTGCTCTTTCCCTGCCTGAAGCCCCTGCATCCATTCTCAGCAGTGAGCTGGGCTCCTGGCCCCCGTTCTATTGTAGCTGTTGGTGCAGTGGACTGCTTGAATGAGCATGTCACTGCCCACCAATCCCTGGATGGTCCTTAGAGACATGGACTTTTCCCTTCAGGCTCCAGTGCTAGGCGTCTCCTCCTTTTCCTCTACAGCAAGCATGCCAAACTCGTGGCCAGCAGTCCACATGCCTCAAGTTTGACATGTTTGCTCTACAGGGATGGAGGAATGACATGGCCTCAGCCACACTTGTGCTGGGTAGCAGGCATAAGACCCCAGCAGGTCTCCATCCCAGTGTTCTCTGAAGTGTCTGGAGGATGGGGGTGTTGATGTCTGTCTTTTCCCCAGTAAACCTTTTCCAGTCATGTCCTGACCACTAGCGAGGCTCCCTACATCTCTGCTCCTATTCTAACCCTCCTCTGGCCTATGCTCATCTGAGTGGAGACCCACCTGCCCAGCACAGATTGGCCCCACTTCCGACCCCTCCCTGACCCTGTGCATTTGCAGGCGCAGGTGCTGCTGGACATCTTCACTGGGGTGCGGCTCTACCTGCCGCCCTCCACGCCAGACTTCAGCCGGCTCAGGCGCTACTTTGTGGCATTTGATGGGGACCTGGTACAGGAATTTGACATGGCCTCAGCCACACACGTGCTGGGGAGCAGGGACAAGAACCCTGAGGCCCAGCAGGTCTCCCCAGAGTGGATTTGGGCTTGTATCCGGAAACGAAGACTGGTGGCTCCCTGCTAGGACGGCTGCCTTTCCTTTCCTCTCCCTTCGGCCGACCCTTCCTGGCCGGGGCAGAACCCAGCCGGACAAGGATGGACTTCCTTCTCCAAGCAGCGCGTCTTCCAAACCCCCCGCCGTGCACGGTCTCCAGCAGGAGTCAGGTGCTCCGGTGCCACCAGCAGTCACTGCCCTGCTGGCTGGTGGTGATCTTCCAGATCTAGGTGCTGGTTACTGTCTTTTAGTGTTCTGTAAAAAGGGGCCTTTCTTCCTTTTTAAAATAAAATATCTTGCAGTTATCTCTGCCCTTCCCCCACTGCCACTCCCTGTAAATCCCTAGTGACTAAGGAGTGAAGGCTGGGCTCCCGAAGGTCTTCCTTGCCTGCCCCTTTCACTTCCACGCTCCTTTTAAAGTTCTTTCTTGGACTGCCCTCTCTCAGAAATGCTGCTTATATTTGGCAAAACATGCATTCAGTCTGGCCCTTTTTGCCAGCAATGAAGCCTCATCTGAAAGGAAACAAATGAATTTTATGACTTCGTTGTCTGGTTCTCCTTTTCCAGGGTGTGGGTCTGCCCTGAACCAGGATCAGGTAGGAGAGGGGGGCCTTTATGAAGGAAAGGTTTGGGCTGCTCCTCTGGGGGAGACAGGCTCCAGGAGGATCAGCCTCCCCACCAACTGGAACTAAGACTGCTCTTGAGGATAATCCCAGGGACAAATCTACACAGCCTGTGCCACCCAAGACTGACTTTTTTGAATAAAAGGGAAACATTTCGTGTACACGAGTGCTGTTCAATAGAACTTTTGCAGCAATGGAAATGTGCCTTAGATCTTAACACGTTAGCCGCATCAGCTGTTGAGCATTTGAAACGTGGCCTAACCCAACTTGATCACGTGGTAGTGACTACCACACTGGATAGTGCAGGGAGACCTGGTTTGAATCCAAGTCCTGATATTTAATAGCTATAACTACACACGTTATTCAACATCTAAGCATCCAAAAGAATGGGGTTAGGAATTGCACCTAAATCATGGAGTTACTGTAGAGAGTGAATGAACTCAAGGTAAGTTCTTACAGCACTCAGCACAGCCTCGCCGGGTTGGGAAAATCGACAATGGCATGCATGTTCAGACCCTGCCCAGGAGAGGCCTGGCTCAGCACTTGCACAGCGGCCTGTGACAGCTCACATGACCACATGCAGCTCACAGGTGGCACCTGATCCTACATACTTCGGTGTTCTCAGGCCTGCTCCTTCTGCGGGTCAGTTCCCTTTTTTCATATTAAGCTAGCAGGCCTGTGTGTCCTTCCCTGTGAGGAGAAGAGAACTCAACCTCTGGAACTTTTGTCTGGGCCTGTAGGTTGAGAACCACCATCATCCAGCCCTCCTTTTGTGTGTGACGAAGGCAATATATTCTGCAGAAAGGCCATCTTCAACCCAATTGACCTGGGTCTCCACCTGCTGGTTAAAACGTGTTGGGAGGTGGAAACAGGAGGGGGAGGTGCTGCCTTGTCTCTGGCTCAGGACATTGGGTGGTTTTGAATAGGCACCATTCAGTCTGGCTTCAGTATTGGGAATAAGACACCCTTTTTATTCTATCCGCAGTGGAGACAAAAGCTGATCCTCTGAGCACTGACCTACATAAATTTCCACCCCCTTCTCCAGCCTCCAGGCCAAACAACTGGACAGGGCAGCAGAACAAGGCACTCCTCCCCTGGAGAATCTGCCAAAGGACACTGCCGCTGCCCTTTGGCCCGACTGACCAGCCCCAGCCCCGCCTGTCCTTCCTGGGTGCTTACACTCAGGGTGCAGCCTCACAGCCAAGGGTGTGCTTGCTGGACGCTCTCTTCCATTCACTGTTTAAACTGCTTTCTTTCTAGTCTTCCTAACGAGACTTTTTTGAGCTGCTGAGATTATATCATATATACAACTCTGTTTCCTTTCATGTATTTCCATAGACCTTGAGCCTTTGTAAGCTGTTGCTTGGCAGCAGATAGAGGTCATCACAGTGCTCAACGGGTCAGCAACCCGAACAATGAGGACAAAAGGCTGTGGCTCAGCCTGAAGCCTTTACACACTAGACAAGTCTCAGTCACAGGGCAGCACTGCACCCAACCTTGCTCTCCCAAAGGCTGCATTCTCGGGAGACCCCGCCCCTGGACACTTGATCAAGGAGGTGTTTGCAGGCCTGTGCACACGCAGCAGTTTGCCCACAAGGCTGGGCCAACCTCGGAGCCGCTCCAGCTACCACGGCTGTATCCAAAAGCCGCCATCCATCTTTCAGGGTCATGGGAAGCCTGAACTGGACACACTGGCTGTCCTCAGACTGTTCTACACATCACCTTTTTGAAATTTATTTTTATTGGTTTCAGAGAGGAAGGGGGAGGTAGAAACATCAATGATGAGGTCATCGATTGGCTGCCTCCTGCATGCACTCTACCTACACACACTGTACTGGGGGGATTTAGCCCCCAACGAGGGCATGTGCCCTGACAAGGAATCCAACCATGACCTCCTGGTTCACAGGTCGACACTCAACCACTAGGCCATGTCGGCCAGGTCATTCATATATTATAAAATCTTGAAGGCCCATCTCTCACCAAATCAGTGGCAATGTTTGAACTCACTGCTGCTTCATATTTGGTCTTATAACTGGTCCTTTTTCTACCCAGCTCCCATCCTCAGCTAGGCTGTTCCAGGCCTCTCCCTCATGGTAGTGAGCTCTCGCGTCACTTAAGCTTCAGTTTCCTTGTCTGTGGAACAGGGCTGTCTTGACCCAAGCATCTCCAACAACAGTGTTGTCTAAGTGCATCCTGTGTGCGCACACCTGGGATTAGCCTGTGGCTGATCAACTAGTGTTGGTCTTAACTATCAGATCTCTGGCAGCCTCACACCAGATCGGACAGGCATCTAGAATGAAACTTTATTACAAAATTAAAAAGCAGAGATCTGTAACAAAAAATACACATTTGGGTTTGTATTACACCCAAGTCTGAGAGAATCTTAATATAAGCCACTTGAAGTAACACATTTGCATCCAAAAAATTTCAACAAATTTATACAATATTATTGAGCGCTAATTCCTGTACAGCTTATTCTTACTAGCTTAGATCCAAGTATTCAAACATTATGAACCAGTCAGCTCTCTTGTTTTAAAAGTCTCAACTGAAGTTTCTCAATCACAGCAAAAGCCAAGAAATAACTGAAAGAATCATGTTTCCATGATAAAATTAAGACCAAAGATCCACGAGGGGCCGGGAGGAGTATTCAAGGATAAAAATCAAGTTTTCTAGCTAGGTTAGATAGTAACTAAAATGGGATCTTGGAATTCCCAACTTTTATTTGGTGTAGTAAGATACAAAAAAAAAAAAAAAAAAAAAATCAGATTGCTTGACACTATTTTCCTTAAGAGAAAACCGTCACCAAAAGAGGTTAGAAGACAAAGGCAAGTTCTTTCTCCAAAATGAGTAAATGACACCAGTTCTAATTCTTACTGAGGTTACAAACCAACCATTACCATTATTATCTTTGACTCATGTTGGGAGGGAAATTGGGACGCAGGGAGAGGTAAGGCCTGAGCAAGTTTTAAGTAGGAAGAGAACCAGCTTCTACCCTGAAGTTATTGCTAGAGGTTAACTGAGTTGCATATACATAGACCTGCTTCACAATGGAACTGAGTAGATGAATCCTTTGCTAAACTGGTAGGCATTGTAAACTATAGTACTGACTGTCCAGCAAAAAATGTCTTCACCGGGAAATCTCCATTCCCCCGGTTCCTACAAAGGCTATGGCCCAGAATTAAATCATCCAGGACTTGGTAGAATGTTGAGGTAAGTGGCCCAGTGATTAGCTGACAACTACTTGATGAAATTTGGTTTTCCTACAGGGGATTAGTGGTTGATGATGGAGGGAAAGCCAAGTATGTCTGAACCAATAAACAGGTCCTCTTGGAGGTTTCCCACTGCTTTCCAGAGTTACGATTGGTTCTTATCTTGGCTGCATTGGGGGAGGGTGTCTGCCAAGGCCCTCGGTGTTTAGGGTGTGCCTAGATCATCCATTGGTGACGGCAGCACACCCAGCTCCTCGGAGAGCATGTATGCTTGTGCTTGGCTAAGCTGGCCCAGCAAACGTTTCTTTAGCCCTTTGGTTCTTCCAGGGCTGAAAAGACCCTAAGAGGGCTCGAGAACACGACCTACTCATTGCACGCTCCTTCCTAAGAGCCCAGAGAATGCTTCTTCCTCATGTACCCCCAAATCAGTACACTGAGAAAGGAAATAGGAGGGAGTCCCCACCAAGCTGGGGAGCTAAGGCTTCCAGCTGCCTGCTCAAGGGCTGAAACCAGCCTCATTCGGTGCCTCTGATACCTGGAGGGGCTCTGTTTTGCACAGATTTGGTCCCAGGAATTTTTGAGAAGACTGGCTAGAGAAGAGCTAGGCTCTTTGCCTAAGTCTCGATGCCTTGAGTGAAACCATGCTCAAATCTTGTGGGAAAGAGAGACTTCTTTCACAGGGGCAAGGGGCTTAGAACTGTCTGTTGGAGAAGTCAAAGTTAAGCAAAAAGCCTTTGATTCCACCACACACTCTCCCTTTTCTCCAACTGAAATGAAGGATGGTGCTAAGTCGGGCCCCTAGAGAAGCAGAGATGATCCAGGCGCCATCTCACAGACACTGGGTCTTCCCAGCAGTTTGGGAACCAGATGCTTCGCTGGCGCCCAAGGTCAGGTTGGGAGACTGACAGCTAATCCCAGCACTGAAGGTAGCAGCTCTTAATGACTTGGAAGGTTTTCAACAGCATTTGTGTTTCATTTTTTACCAGAGAGAAGTTGACCGGTCCAAACTCTGTCCTAGGGAGAATCATTATTGGTCTAGTAAGCTAACATCTTTTTGGTCTGAGAAAACAAATGGATTTTAGGCAACGTAGCAAGAAACTTTAGCAAAGGCAGGTTAAAGCAGAGAAAGCCAGTGAAACCAGAAATAAATCCAGATGTGCTGGGGAGGAAGAGAACCATTACTACTAGGACTTCTGATTGGTGAAACACAGCCAGCAGCTTAGGGGGTGGGGTCTAGGAGGAAGGGGGGAAGGTACGATACGGTCCAAGTTCTGGAAAGTCCTCTCTCCATCAGTTTCCATCACCCGAGATCACCGAAACAGGGACTTGCCCAAGCGATCTACACGTCCGCACTGCCGCAGGCTCTGCCAGCCCAGAGGTGCACCTCCTGGCAGGACAGGCATGCGCAGAGGTGACGGCATCTTTGCTTGCCCTGGTCTTGGGAACACTGCAGGTTTTCTTGTCAGCCTGCCCCTCTGCAGCTGCCAACCCTGAGCCCAGAAACCTCGCACTGTGTCCCTGTAAGGCACTGAAGAAGCCGGTACCAAGCCCTCAGGACCGGAAGACGTGCACGGCTCGGATCACGTACTGCCGACAGATGGGACACTCGTTCATGCGCTTGCCACACTTGGTACAGGTGACCATGTGGCCACACTCCAGCAGGACACAGTCAATGGGCGAGTCCATGCAGATCCTGCACAGGTTCTCTTCCTGGCTGGGTGGCACTGCTCCCCCTGTACAAACACATGGCGGGAGAGAGCACAGTGAGTGTGTGGAGGTGGGAGAGCA